GACGATGAAAACTGAAAGCAGAACATAGTAGCAGTATTTTTCAAATGCTTACACTTTGTAATGTCTTAGCAAATTTGAACACAAACACTGATTTGACGGGGGAAAGTTGACTTTCAAGGGGTAAAGTGGTCATTTCACATAATCTTACTCATCATCTGTCCGTATATAAAGCTATCTCCTTGTGAAAACCGAGGAAGCGCGTAAAAGTAGAAGCGATGCGTCGATCCGCGAGCGCCTCCATAGTTTCCGACCAACTATCAGCGTCTTCTCCGTCGCCGTCACCTTCTCCTCAGCCGCGAATTCCGACCGCCGTCGATTCGGAGGATGTCCAGCTTCTTCTTCCTAGGTACGACCCAAACTCTTATCCTGGGAAAAAGGACAAATCGCGACTCAGATCCGAAGAGAACGTTGTCCATTTTATCCCTCTCGTTCTCATTCTCTGCGCCGTAATCCTTTGGGTTTTCTCTCATCCAGGTAAACAAATCATTCGAATCGATCGCTCAAATGTTTTCTTCGCGTTTTGAAATCGTAATTGCAGAATCGCGTTTTTGAAACGTTTCGATTTTTTTCTGATTTGTTCACAGTAGCAATGGTCATACAGTAACAAGTGTGGAAGACAGAGAGACGATATAGCTGTAGAATCCTTCTCCTACATAGTGTAAACGATTTGATTTGTATCATTCTTTAGCAGAGGTTATGTTACATAAAAATGATCAATTTTTTCTGATTATACATTGTTCAATTCTTGTATCAAATTTAGATCGATGCGTAAGAGAGATTTACGTTTTTGAATCATAGAGAGGCTCACACTCAAAGTTTGTGTGTTCAAGCATTGGTCCGAGCCTAACTAACTTTGGTATGATAATATTGTCTCTAACTGAACACACAAGAGAATTCTCCCATTGTAGAAGTGCGCCGACTAGGTTTGCGCGTACTGTTAACGGGAATGCTCGTGACCATCTCTCGTTCCCGTATGATTCCATTGCCCCTTCGACTGATTCGGTCCCTTTATTGAGTTCGCTGGCGAGTTTATTCGCTAGAACAACCGAATCCTCCAATGCACAACAAGCACCTTGTCCAAGATTTGGAGTCATTGGGTGCCAAGCATCTCCAACAAGAACCACTCGGCCTTTCGATGCTGGCGGAGCAATGCCGGGCCATAGCCATCGGTCTACTAGAGGAGTTCTGCTGATTGTTTCATCGGGTGTTAGATCGATGAGGTTTCGCAGTTCTTCAGGCCAGGTGCTAACCAGTTCTTTGGCTTGTTTCTTTAGGATAGCTGGATCCGTAATTTTCGGCCCTGTATTCCACAGACTTTTATGATAAAGAAATTGAAAGAAGACATTATTATTGTTGTGGAATGTGTGAGGAGTGTAGAAATCTACCTAGAGATGGGCTGTTGAAACAGATGAACCAGTAGACTTTTGTTGCAGATACGGGTACGTATCCAGCTCGAAGCCCTCTACCATAAATGTAGTTCACCTTTTTCTGAAATGGCTGTCCGTTTGGATAGAACCCAAGTCCACGGAAAGCACAATGACCAACATATTTCGGCTCACTGAACCCCATCCAACTCGCGACCTTAGACCGGATACCGTCACAACCAATAACAATCTGTCAAAAACATACATCACCAAATTAGCCAAGAGGCCCAATATAACTTATTACCTGGTCATAGCTTGTTGCATCCTGATGTCTTATAAGCGAAAGATGCTTGAAGGAAAGGTAAAGCATCCATGTTCTTAGTATAAACACATAAACCAGAGACCCGGAGCTTGAAAGAACTAGTTACGAGAACAGTACCTTTGCAAGCAATTGGCTTCCATCTTCAAGTTCCAGGAGAGTATCACCATTGGCATTGCTTTGTATTGTTTTCAGTTTTGAGGAAAACCGAATGGTTTGTGGAGGCAGCTGGCTTGCAAGTGTTTCCAAGAGTACTCGCCTCTCCACCGCCCGAACTTCTTGGCTATAAAAAAAACATACGCATAGGAATCAAATCGAATGCTCTAAACCGCCAAGTTATTAAGTGGCCTACCTTTGATCTTCATCTTTAAATCTGAAAGAACGAAGCTCTCTTCCATCTTCCTTCTTCACTACCATCCTGCTCAGCTGATCATACCAACACACTCAGGTAAAACCAAGAACAAAATCTCACTTTTTCGATCATTAACTCCCAACATTAGTGTAATATGTTACTGTCTGATCAATGCCCACATAATTTGTTTGATTTCATCTCTATGGGGGCAAAAAGAAACTGTACCCTTCGATTTCAAGAAACTGCGTTCGGAGTTGAGGCCCGACGGAGATAGCGTCAAGAACACGCCACCCATTCTTGAATAGCGTCAACGATGTTCCTCCGGTCCGAAGCGACTCTGCTTGCTCCAGAACAACCGACCGGATTCCAAGCCTAAACCGTCAACCAAAATCTCCGGTTCAGTAGCTCTTGAGTTTCAAATTTCATTTCAAAGAACCGGTTTTGTAAATTTTGGTACTTACCGGTGAAGAGATACTGCGGTGGCGAGTCCTCCAATCCCGGCGCCAACAATCACCACGTTCTCCTCCTCTCTATCACCACCGCTTGTTTGAGCTCTGGTCACTACCAAACAAACCGGTTTTGATCCGGTTCGAACCGGACACCATCTGTAGCTTCTGGCTAGGGATTGTAGAGGAAAGATCGGAAGAAGAAGAGACATGGCCATGGCCTTGCGTTTTCAGGTGAGGGACAAGTGGATAATGTTAATTTTCAGCCATATAGTATAAAGTGTAGATTTTTAGAAAATCTATTTAAGCTTTTATGTAGTCAATATAAAGCCACGAGGTCATCAAAAACACTTGTAGCTCATCTTCTGTAGAAGGTACACTTTGAGCCATGTACCAAGAACAAGAAGCATAAAAGGGGTTTGTATTGGTCACATTTGAGTTACATTGTATTACAAGTGTTAAGACAAATCGAGTGTGTATATTATTTGTACTCAAGACACCCCTATGAAAAAAATACGAATTGTCTCAACATGAAATCAACTAAGAAAAAACATTTTGAATCATATTGAGACTCTTTAGATTTATCTATGTTAAGAGGAAGCAGGAACATATTTGCCCACAAATCCAAAACCGACAACGAAGAAGGCTAATGACTGGAATAGAAGGTACACAAAGATTGTGTTCTTCCCATAGATGATATCGTAGCATCCGCAGAACAACAGGTACACTCCAACCAATAGCTCCAGCAAATGCACCCTGCAACAGTAACAACATCGGTTTACGATCGACTTAAGCTCTGTCAAGGCTCGATAAAAACCAATAGGAATTGTCTACTTACCTGTCTCTGAATCTGACATTATTTTCTTTAGGCACTTGTGCAATCAGCTTCGTCTTGAGAGCATCACCTAGTTTCTCGGTCACGACCCATTCTTGTACTCTTCCTGTTTCTAACAAACCCATGACGAGTGCCTTTGTTCGAAGCAGGGACATTGCGTTCTCAAACAGAACCCAGAACGCCAAAAGGTGGATTGATCTGTTCACCAAAAGGATTTATTGTAAGTAGAAGACAGAGTAAACGATAAGTTATATGGACTTTGTTTCGAAAGGGTTAAGAGAGGAGACCTTAGTCTACAGATTGCGATAAAGAGAGTGATCAATGAAGGGAAATAAAATGCAGCCCATTTTGGAACTGTGACTTCAGGGAACAAAACAGTTGCTGGCAAGATAACACAGTAGAAGCAGAAAGTGAGGACGTGAGCCACGATCTTGCGCATGAAGAAGAAGCTGTAAATCATATACAACTTCTTCCCTAGAGAAACATTCTCGCTTCTTATTATTTGTCCAGCCATTTTCCTGAATAGATTGGCAGGGKCACAAGTCCATCGATGCTGCTGGCTACGGAGGGCATTGAAGGAACAAGGTAACTCACTTCTAACCTGCAGATAACAGACTCAAAATTGCTTCAAACGCAAAACCCAAGATGCCAAGAAAAGAGAGGAATCTGTTTATACCATGAGATCATCGATATATAGAAACTTCCAGCCTCTAAGCGTAGCTCGCACAGCTAAGTCCATGTCCTCTACTGTTGTCTGGTCATTCCATCCCCCGGACTCATTCAGCGCTGAGATTCTCCAGACGCCAGCCGTTCCTGCAATATTTTCAGACAATAAGAAAAAGCTTTATTGAGAAAACAAAAGAGAAAAGAAACAATGAGAATGTTATACCGTTGAAACCAAAGAAGGCAAATGTTGAAGATCCAACTTGCTGCTCTACTGTAAAGTGGTAACTCAGAGACATTTCCTGCAATCTCGTCATCATGCATTGCCCCGCGTTCACTGTGATGCCATGAGATTGTTAGCAAATGCATTATTATGTACCAAGTTATAGGTTTGTCATGGAAAAAGAAGAGAAAGGTGTCTACAGCATTTTACCAAACTCCCACCGGCCTTGGACAAGTGCTAACTTGGGATTGTGAATTAAGAAAGGAACAGTGCGGTGGAGGAAGTCCGGATCAGGCTGGAAGTCAGCATCAAAGATAGCAACATAGTCACACTGCTTCACATAGCTATGTTTCATTCCTTCTCTCAGTGCACCAGCTTTGTATCCGTTCCTGTTATCCCTAATCTCAAACGTTATGTTGACGCCTTCTCTCGACCATCTCTCACATTCCTTTTTCACCAATTCCTGTTTCCTTCCATTATCGCCACATAACCAAAATGTTAAGGAACTCACTTTAACACAACAAATTCTTGAGCCCATTGCTTGAAATGAGAAAGGAGAAGTGGTCTATAGAGGTTAACAAGGACCTTACTGGCTGGATCTGTGGAGTCATCAAGCACTTGAATTATTATACGATTCGATGGCCATGAGATTTTGCAAACAGCTGCAATAGATTGCTCACAAACCTATCAAATACAGAAATCCACACCAAATGTGTTCAACAACATACCAATATCACTGGATGATACAGAAAACAGTTCCTTAGGTCATACTCATACCTCTTTTTCATTGTACATAGGTATTTGCACAAGAACCATGGGGAAGCTTGCACTGCCACACTCAACATCATCCTCCATAGCTTCCCATTTGTAAACTTTCTCTGGTTTTCTCTTAAACAACTTGATATAGGCTACGACAACTCCCATGTACATTATCTCAATGAAGAGCATTAAAGACATGATCAAGCATAGAGCCACCAAGAACTTGAAGACAGGTACAACAACAACAGTCCTCGCTTGCTCCCACCAAACACTGATTCTGGTAACAATATCTTCCGATGATTTAAAGGCATTGAAGAATGTTGATGCTTTAGAACTCCCAACTTGAGACTTCAATGAGAGAAGTAAAAGAGAAGACGACGATTATTAAACAAACCAGAAATTTGACCCTCGAGTTTAATACATTCAAAGAGACATTCATCTGTAATATTCTTGAATCCGCAAACCAACCACTTCTTGACTAAAAAGATCTAGAGGGACAAAAACAAAAACAAAAAACACCAAATTTTAATACACTAGAGTACAAAATGACAAACACGAGAAAGATTTCAACAGATCTAGTATTATTATACGAGATCTAAAGCAAATGTAGCACGCAAGAACGACAAAGAAAGATGTGTTTTTTAACCCAACAGAGAAAAATTGATCCTTTTTAGAGAAAACGTTGACGAGAAGTCGAAATCGAAGTCGGCGGAAGAAACCCAGATTATAAAAAGGAAAAAGATATCAAAAAGCAGTCGTAAGAAACAAGCAAAATGCAACATTCTTCAATGAAGT